GTAACAATGGCGTCGACGGTGGGATTAGCTCCGGGACTATCTCGGAAACTGAAGAAGGTATTGGAATGTCGAACGGACAGTCCGGATCTGGTTGCGTCGCTCAACGCTTTATCCACATTCTACGACGAGAACAGTTCTCACGCGCGTCGGAATCTCAGATCGACGATCGAGAAACGTGCACTTCAGATCAACAGTGAGTTTCTTAGTGCAGCTGATACGACTCAGATCGCATTGGATCGTGTTGAGGAAGAAGTGAATGCTTTGGCTGATTGTTGCGATAAGATCGCAGAGGCGCTAAGTAACTCGGCGGCGACCACAAGCGATATTGTAAGCACTACTGAGAGGTTAAAGCAAGAGCTTGAGGTTACTACTCAGAGACAAGAGATTGTTAATTGCTTTCTTCGTGATTATCAGCTCTCGAGCGAAGAGGTAAGCTCTTTGTAATGGTGAATCATTGATAAGATCTTGCGGTGTGTGAAGTTATGAAACTGATTTGTTTGGTTATTTGATTCAAATTTTTGGCAGATTAAAGCCCTTAGGGAAGATGAATTGAATGAGGATTTCTTTCAAGCTTTGTCTCATGTTCAAGAAATTCATTCCAATTGCAAGTTACTTCTCAGGACGCATCATCAGGTTTGGTTTCGAATCTTTTCAACTGTGTTTTCGAGCATTTGTGTTCGTTTTGCGTGAAAAAATTGGATCGTCGTGGCAGTGTTTGACTGTATGGGATGTGTAATGCAGCGTGCAGGTTTGGAACTGATGGATATGATGGCTGTGTACCAAGAAGGAGCATATGAGCGCCTTTGCAGGTACTTTATCTCTGCTTCTTTCCAAGATTATGTAGAAGAGTTTTTGGTAGAAGCTTTTAGTGTTTGGAATGAGCATGAATTCATTACTGCTGATTTAGGAATTAAGTTTGGTGTTTCCTGAATGTCTCCATGGTTTTTCTTTATCACACTTGTAAGTTTGATTTCATTTCTAAACGCTAGAGTTACGCAGTACATAAGTTTATTCATACAAAAACATTTCAATCACGATATGAACAGGGCGATGATTTGTTTATCCATACATTGGTTTGAATGAAACTGTTTTTCATGGTATATAGGGCGATGATTTGTTTGTAAATATAGGGTCACTTTTTGTAAATCCGCCTCTGGCTGACAAGATAACTCAGGACCGGCCCTGTCAAAGAAGAATGCTCACTGA